CACACACACACACACACACAAAACCTAAAATGTTTCTACAAAGTGCCTATATTTCAGAAAACGTTTCTTTCCAATATTTAGAACACAAGCAGCCTCTGATATTTCCTATCAAATTTACCCTAAAAGTGCCTCGGGATGCTGAACTATTTACGCGCTGGTGTCGCCACCGTAGATTTTGCAAATCTTACCGATAAGGTTGTTTCGGTCCTAATCTTAGTCTTATTAGCAATTTTCGATATTATGCAACTCGGTAACGTACCGTATTTACTCCTCTAGACGCCATCCCCCAAATAGACGCCGCCCCCGAATACACGCCGCACCTGGGACTAAAAATAGTAACATACGCCGCCCCCGAATACACGCCGCATCTACGGTGTGGCGTTTATTTGAGGAAATAATAWTTTATGATAAATGATAAATAAAAAGTATATTTCAAGTTTAAACCAGCAACGGAAATTTCTTTTCTTTTAGAACAACATTTTAAAGTTCAAAGTGAATGTACTATTTTTCTCTTGCGTGAAGTTCTCTTTCAAGAATTCTTATTGAATAAAGTAATTTTTGAATAAACGGYGCCCCCAAATAAACGGCGCAGCTGGACCACGAGAAATCAAATAAGCGCCGCGAGGTCTAAACGAGTAAATACGTGTCGAAATCAATCAAAAACAACCCGTACCTTTGCATTTTATGAATGTTACTCCTTACGTAACTTTACGTTTTTGACAAGAGATTTTATTAGACAAAGGAGAAGATTTCTATTGATTTGCTTAAGAAAACTGAAAAAAATTTGTGTGCTGTGAGGAATAACATGAATTTTCTCACTTTCTTATCTTAGTTCGCTTTTATTTTCTGTGCCATCCGAGATCCCTTCTACTCCAGCCGCCGAGAAAAGCACTTCTACGGCACAATTTTTTATGGAAGAAGCTACTGGAATTTCAATCTTCAAACGAATAAACAAGCGAAGTACGTATTTTTTATTACGTATTTTCATTGGTTAMGGTATTGCGCCACATAATTGGTTAAAACAGTTCAGCCACTTGAAACCCCTTTGGGCTGCAGTGTAAGGAAATAGTGAAAACGACATTTTAGATACGTCTCCAGGCTTTTCATTTAAAATTTCAGTTATAGAGGTTTTACACCATCACGTGATGGCGCCCATGACAGGAGGCACAACAATAGAKTGTTTTCCCCCTGGGAAACTTAATTCTTTCTAAAGTAAATCATRTTAGACCAGGGGTGCTTACCATTTATACCAATCCATCCGGTTGGATATTCGTTTGCTAATGGTACGAAAAGAGCGGGAAACTTTGA